ATAATAATAATAATAATAATAATAATATTATAATACCCCGTGTGGTGTCGGAGATTTTAGTAGAATAGCACCACGGGCCCTCCCCCTGTCGTAGAAGGCGACTAATCGGCGCAGCTGTCCGCTGTCACTCCCCTAAACATCTCGTCATTCCCACAAACTCTGTGTCATTGCATGTATGTAGATGACATTGCTATATTTTACTCGGCCGAATCACTGGGAATGATCAAATTCAAAATGCAAAATGCTATCAATAAATTAGTACAGAACGCAAAAAACATTGGTTTCTCATTTACAGCAGCCAAAACGAAATGCGTTTACTTCTGTAGGAAAAGAAAAAGTTACAGAGATCCTGAGCTGGTGCTGAATGGGGTTCAACTGACATACAATGAAACGGCAAAATTCCTTGGTTTGATTTTTGGTAGGCATTTAACATGGAAACAGCATATAGAATATACCTTGCGTAGATGCAAAAAAGCTCTGAATGTAATAAGATGCATTTCCCATATAAATTGGGGAGCAGATAGAGACATCTTACTCCGCCTGTACAAATCCATGGTGATGTCCAAAATAGATTATGGATGTGCAGTGTATTCCTCAGCCAGAAAATCAAGTTTAAGGAAACTAGATTCCGTTCATAATGCAGGCCTCCGATATGAATCTGACGCGTTCTGCACAAGTCATTCCTTAAGCCTCTACTGTGAAACCAGCACCATGTCGCTACATCATAGACGACAAACAATGTTACTCAACTATAGATCACAATTGCTGTCTCTACCGAAACATTTAAACCATTCATTGATGACTCAACCTAAGCTAGTAAATATTTACGATCAAAGACCTTCTACTACTCGTCCAGCCAACATCCGCGCAATCGAGATAGCCAAATGCTACAACATCGTCCTACCACCAGTTTTGAAACACAAACCATATGAAATTCCAGTTTGGATGTTGAAAATGCCAGAAGTAAGACTCGATACTACCAGTGTAAAGAAAACAGAATGCCTTCCCATAGAGTTTGAAAAAATTCTAGGCAAAATTCTTAAAAATATTTTAAAATTTAAAAATCAAATAAATATGTTTAGAAAACGAAGCATTTTGTCCTGTAAAAGAAATGGAAATCAGAGAGCTGGGAAACTTTAAATTTGTTACACAATTATTGTTCCAAACAATTAAATAATTCTGCTCAGGGGCACTTTCTAATATCTTACATAGTAAACCCTTCAGCAATTAACACTGTTAAATGTTAAAATGGAAGAAACCTATGTATTTGAAAGTAAATGTCTGCATGAAATAACCATGGAAATGACAATCTCTGGCTAAAATAGTCTGATTAGTGGTATTATTGAATTTGTAGATGTGTTGAATTGAACTGTTCTTATGAAATCCCTTGTTTTGCTTTGCAGCACTAAAGTAATGTAGTTCTTCTCTCTCCCTAATGTTTCTCACAGTTTTTAATAGTTTGTTGTCACATAAATAAATAAAATAGTATTTATTGTAAAACTTAATGACACTGGCCATTTAAGAGGGGGGGGGGGGAGGCAGTGTTGTCATACTTCCAAACACTAAATTGGAACAACACGACACAAAAAATATGCTCAAAAGAGGCAAATGAAATTTCAAATACTGAATGCTGAATTGTAATCACGTGACTTCTCTAGACACTGCATAGCCTCATTCAAATTCCATTAACTACAGCAATAATAAGAATAATTACCAAGATTAATATGCTTCAAATGTGGAGATGCCATCAATATTTCTTGCAATGGTCCATTATCAATTGTTGTTCGATAAAAATTCAGGTACTCCAAATTATGTAGGCAAGACAATGTACGAAAAGCTTCTCCATTTACAGTTACACAATTCTCCAGCCCTAGTTCTGTGAAAAATTACATTAATTTTCCATTAATTATGCAAAATAATATTATTATGCATAATAATTTCCATTAATTATGCATAATAACTTATTTTAAAAAATCACAAAATATGAAAATTTAATATCAGAATGGTAAAATCAGCGCACATTTTCTTGAGCACTAGTTTCCTTAGATGCCAAACATATTGAGGGTTTAATTATTTTGATGGAAGTACGATAAAATGAATTCTCTAGTAGCACGTCTGTCAAAAATAAGTTTCTATAGCAAATATTAATAGCAAATATTTATTGTTATCAAATGTTATCTAATAGCAAATATTTCTTGTTATCAAATGTTTACAACAATGCTCATTGCTAGCTTTTGTTCATAATTCAACTATTTTGATAAAGAAGACGACATAGGGATTCTGGACCTCAAGAATACATGGACATATAATAATTTCACTTACCTCGTAAACATCCACAATACTTGGAGATCTTGTAAATGCACCTATCATCAATAAATTTGCATGAATTCAGTCTTAAATGCGTTAACTGCTTTCCACAACGAGTAATGAAACTGTTAAAAAGGAAAAATTAGACCATACCACTGTAAACAACAAATCTCATGGTTCTAAAATATGAACTAGTAACTTCTTTTGAATTTATTTCTAAACTATAATAATTAGCCACAAGTCATCGAACTTTCCAAAATTTCCAAACAATGTGTGTATGTGCGTGGTGTATCCTACACTCGACTGGCAACAAATTGGAAAGATGAGTAAATAATATCCCTTCATTTCAATAAGGGGTTTCTACTCCCTGAGATCAATGTTTAAAGTAAGAAGATTACCAATCTAGGACACTGCTATGAATTACATACAAGGGTAATTTGAATGTAAAATGTAATGAACAATGGTGGCTAATGCTTTCAAAAGATCTAAAAATGTGCCAATAGAGGATTTATTTTTACTTTCTCAACTCCTACAGTAATAAGAAGTGATTTTTTGAAAGAAAAATTCATATCATGGGGTCTTGACATTAAAACATGGGAATATCTTACTCCTACATAGTAAATTACATCCTCTAACATGTGTAGTAAGAAACCGTGTTTGTGGTTCCTTGATACTGAAAAATTCAACTGACAGCAAAACATCTGTCTCTCAGTTGGTCTGTCTGTGATCAACTAGCACCTTAACTATTAAGTTGATTTTCTCCGATATTGGTATTCCCCCAATCAATTTAGACAAACTTAAAGGACTCAGGGTTTTAAACAGATATTTTGATTTTGGGAGGTAGTTTATATGCAGCCACAACATTTTCAATTATTTTTTCAAAATCGTCTTCAAATTTTATTCCAAATTGTCTCCATTTTTTTTTTCCAAATTGTCACCATTTTTATCTAAATTGTCTCCATTTTTATCCAAATTGTCTGCAATTTTTTTTCCAAATTGTTTCCATATTTTTTCCCGAAATAACTCCAATTTTTTTCTCAAAATCTTCAAATTGTCTCGATTTTCTTCAAAGTTGTCTCCAAATTTTTGGATTGAATGCCATCCTCAGATAGCATAACAGGACAATTAAGAGAATGGTGCATGTCTCAGTGCTGCGAGTTTGAAACGAAAATTTTGATATTTGGGTATTTTCATGAAGCCTCTACATTTTTCTAGGATAGCATAAAGGTCACCTAAAACATTGCACAGGTTTCATATGTGTTGAAATTGTTAGCTTTTGATAATTGCAAAATATTAAAATTTTGGAAGTGTCTTCCTACAACTGCAATACTGAAGAAAGAGTTTTTTTTTGCCATATACATAAGAGGTAAAAATTTAAAGAAAATATTTGGAGCAATTTCTCGAAAATATTTTTTCTTCGAAACTGCATAAATTTCAAGCACCAATTATGCAAAATCTACTCATTTTTTTCTTTCCTCAAAAATTGTAAATGACCTTTTTTAAAGAACTGATTTTTTAGAATGAACATTGTTGAAGGCAAAAATTGCTATCTTCAATTTTGTAGTTTTGAAATATTAACATTTTGGAATTTTCAATAATACAGAGAGTTTGCCGAAAAAGAGATTACAACCATAATTTTTACTGTTGTTTGTTACATATGAGCAGAAACTTTAAAGAAAAAAATTTCGAGCAGTTTCCAAGAAAAAATATTTTAAACTGTTCCTCTTTTTTGTGCAAAATTACACGAAAACTACTCTTATTCTCGAAAATTGAACATGAACTTATTTCAAGATGTCTTTAAAAAACATATTTCATTTCGGAAAAAATCCTTCTTTAATATTGTTGTGAGAAGACACCCCCCCCCCCAAAAAAAATTGTACTTTTGCAATTTTCGAAAAACCAGGGATTTCAAAGAAAATGAGGCTTGCACCTTTCCCTTAAGCGTCTTTTGTGCTGAGGACGACGTTCAATCAACAAAATTAAAGCCATTTGTGAGAAAATTTAGAAAATTATTTCGAGGCTACATGTAAAGTACTATAAAAAATCAAAATATCTGTTTGAAACTTCCTAAGTCTAGATGTTTGTTCAGATCGATCGAGGAATATCAATTTTGAAGAAAATCGGCTGAGCGGTTTTCGCGTTACCGTTGACCACAAACGGAGGACTTGCGGATTTTGCGGTATCAAGGACCCACAAAACATGGATTTTGGCTAGACCGTTAGAGAATGTAATATACTATATAAAGGAACAATATTTATTCACATTTCCTTTACCAGGGCTTGACAATAAAGAGCTTTTATGTCGAGAATACGCCGTTTTCCGGCGCACGATTACAATATATTCAAAAGTGCGAGAAAGTAAAAAGTGTATTTCTTCTTGAAATTAATGCAATTTATGTGAAAATATTTTCTCAAAAAGCTCGAAAAATGTTTTCCCACAGATGAAACAAGGGACGCCTAAACGAATGACGCAGGTCTCATTTTCCTTGAACTCACTGAATTTTCGAAAATTGCGTGTTGGAATAATGGGCAAAGATTTTTAAGCTATGGTCCAAGTGAGCAGGGGAGAGCGACTCCGTGCTGTAGCGGTAAAGTGCACGGCGAGTTAACTCTATAATTAGAAATGAGTTCGAGTCTTTGCGCGGGAAACTTTTTTTTTCTAATTGGAAATACTTTTGTTGGTTTATGAAGTACTATAGTATTGTGAAGGTGTTACAAAATAATTTGCGTAAATACTACATGCTGTTGTAGCACCAATAGTTTTTGTTACTTTATCGAATAATTATATGGTGAAGCAATCACACATAGGAAGTGCCAATTTTTTCCATGCTATTTCCCTTGGGTATATTTGAACAGAAATTTTTTTTATTTAGTCTTTGAATCCTAAAATACACAGAAGAATTAGTGTATTTTGAAGTACAAGGCCTAAGAAGTCCTCTGATTTTTGATTACATGTGAATTTTATTAATAAAGGAAGGGAATTAATTTTTGTACATTTACCCAAACAAAAGTAGTTTTCCACCATTTACACTATCCCGCAATTTACATCATTTTTACTTGGACCATTGAAAACTTTAAAAGAGGTGTTTTATTGAGGTTGTTTACTGTTTACTAATGTGGTAAATTACAATTATATAATACTTGTAATTAGAATGTGATAAGAACCCTAATCATGTGAATATTGCCAGTTCATAATTAAAATTAATAAATAAAATATTTATTTTTTTGCTTGTTATTGCCTTTGATACGGAGCTCAACATATACTGTATAACTTACCTGGATCAAGAGGATCATGGTTATGAGGGAAACATATAAACAGTTGAATGATGCTATAAGTTGTCTTGTGGAGGGAAATACAAAAGGGAATTATATTTATTTATTTATTCATAGTTACACAGGCAATCGCCCAATTATAGGAGGAAAATATGAAATGACAAACTTCGTCAAGTTAACATCCAATTAATTAGTAAATCTGAATAAATAAAAATTGTTAAGATATAAAGTATTGTATGTAATATGGGCATTAACTGGTTCTATTGATTGAATGACAAAAAAGCCCTCCAGATTTTTGTCACTGCTCGATCATTAGAACTCTTGTAACGCACTTGGGGCATAAATAACTATTACACAAAAAGGGTATGGGTATAAGATATGCAAAACCGCCCTTAGGAGAAAAAAACATTTTGAGTTGAAAATCATAACTGAAGAGTAAAAAAATAAAAACTTTTTTGCAGGATTTAAATCAATTTATCCAGAGTACTTTGTACAAATGAAATAAACATGTTTTTTTAGCTTTTTATATAATTTCACTTTTTTTTAAACCACATTATGCGTATGTGTTTATTAAATAATCAAAGCAATGCAAATATTCTGGCAAGGTGGTTAAAGTATAAAAACTCACAGTTAAAATCTTAATTTGTTCAATATTCAAATTACAACACAGCTACAAGTAATATTTAGTATTTAGTCCATTTTATGATCTGCATCAGAACATGAGATCTTCTTAAAAAACAACAGAAAAAATTTTTTTTTCTATTTTCTCCTTTTTTGTTGATTGTAAGGGTCAACACAGGGCAACTTTTTTTTTCCATTTGTACGAAGTACTCCAGATGATTTTAATTGATTGAAAAACTTATTTCTTTTACTAATCAATTTCAATTTTCAACACAAAAAACTTTTATCAACTGGGGGGCAGTTATGCCTACCTTATTCCGTTACCCCATTTATCCTTTTCAACAGCATTTTGGTAAGTAAGACTATGCTTGAGAGTTTGATATGAAGTTGCAAACAAAAAGCAACATGTTGCAAAAGTGTTATTTTCTATTTCAACACCAAAAGAACTTGGATACTCTATTATTTATTTATTGTTGCAAGGGGTATAATTTATTTATTATTGTAACGGGGTAAGGAAATTTGTTTCATTTCAAAAATAAATCCTTATATTAACATAGTATTAAAGCAAATTGTCCATAGCAATAGAGATATTTTCAGTTAACTAAGCAAACAACTTTGCTAATGTATGTAATAAACCAGAAAAAATACACAAAATATAACACACCTGATAAAATCAGCAGGTCTTAACACTTGCATACTTCCACACCATGACAGATCCAGTTTCTGTAAGTACTGACATCTATGGGACAAGGAATTCAATGCACATGGTGTGACATAATTCCAGTACACCTGAAAAAAATTAAGGAAATTACAATTATTTATAAAAATAATATGTATATTAGTTAGAAGCAATTATATTTTGAAATATATTTAATGAAATTTCTAACATCAACCCTTGAAAGTACTCCCGCCTTTCCAGTCCTACAACAGAACAGTACCATTGTTGAATTTTGTGTTGGCGTTTTTATTGCATTTTATTATTCATCAGGTCAATTTCTCCAAACCTATACAATTTTGTAGGGTTAACATTTTAATAAACGCAAATTAAACACTCTAGTATCAATTGTTTCATATCTTTAAATAAGCTATAATCAGCTATTGGCTAATAATGGGATTGTTAAAGTAAGACATACGTAATGCATAATAACAAAATGCCTTACATACAATCTCACCAAACAAGACACTCTCATATCATATACATTGTCGTAATTTACAACTAGGGGTTCTAAAACAGCACATATTTTTTTGCCCGTTCCTTCACAAAAAATTAAGTGAAAAGTACTCAACCTTTCGAAAAATTGTACATGACCTTACTTCAAAAATCTATCTTTAAGGATATTTCATTGAGGGAAAAAATCTCTATCTTTGTAATTTAGTCATTGACATGGAAAGGTCATAACTGCCAAAAATTTGAATTTTTGTTTTTTCAGTGAGAAGCTAGTAAATGGCCATGTCAATGGCACAGAGAAGATAGTATGTTGATATGTAATCAAATAAAGTAGTCACTACAAGGTGTAAGTTGTATAAATTGTATGTAGTGGCGGTCGCTAGATGGTGTTAGAAGTGTGAAAAATGTAAAGCCTAATAATGTAATTATGATGAAGAATAAGGACTTCTTCGACTTTTCAGCAGAATGTGACAAGTTTTTGAACAGAACTTCCATCAAAATCAGCACCATCAGCTGGATTTGACTCACAAGAGCTAATTTTCCTCTAATAAAAACAAGACCATCATTTAATGACCTTGAAATAGTGAATGAAAGCCTTGAAAGAAGACCAGTCATCCCTGATGCCTAAAAGACAGACTTGTTATCTATGTTGGACTTCCTTGATGCCAAGTATCATGCATTTTGTAGAAAAAATTGTGCATGTATAAATGCAATGTATAAATAACATCAATTCCAAGTTTGTCTAAGAAGAGATTTCTATGTTGTATTTAAAGAAAGTAGAATTTCATGGACAAATCTGTGCCTGACTCTGAAAATGTCATATGGAACACTGACAAGAGTGTAGGCTTTCCATTTAAAGTAGTTTCAGTAATAATGTTTGTGAAAAAGTGTTCATAATTTTCTTTTTCGTTCCCCTGAAAAATTTTGTTTTGGCAGTTACTACCTTTCCCATGTCAACACTCCAATTGTAGTTGTAGGAAGCTGCAGAAAAATGTAATTTTTGCAATTTTTGAAAAACCAGTTTTCAACGAAAATGACACCTGCATCAATCTCTTAAACATCTTTTACACTACTCGACAACAACATTTAATCAACAACAATAAAGCCATTTTATCGAAAATTTTGAAAATGTCCCAAGGGTTTTATGTAAAGTACCCCCAAAGTTAAAATATCGATTTCAGATTCAAGGGGCCGCTGCATCAGCCAGATTCGATCGATTGGGGAATATCAATATTGAAGAAAATCCAAGGCATCATATTGACTCGTCATACACGATT